TTGCCCTAGCAGGTGTTTAAACAGCTGAGCTAACCCACAAACCCCTCTATTTTTAATTTTTGGATGAACCCCCACATTGTTTTTCAAAGTAGCTGTACAATTTCACACTCCCACCAATGGCGTACCAAGGTCCCAGTTTCTCCACTTCTTCAACAGCTATTTTCTTGACAATAGACATTCTAATGTGTGTGAGATGTTGTCTCCTTCTAATGTGTGGTTTTGATCTCGTTGTCCTGGTGCTTAGTGGTGTGGAGCCTCTTTCCATACACTCACTGGAATGGTGACTGTTGAACAACTTTGAGCCCCAGATGGGCAGAGCTGCTTTGTTCACATTGTGCCCTATTTAACAGACAGGATTATGAAATGCTCAGAGGCAGGAATTATTGTGCCCCTTTTGTGAATGGTGAGACTGAGGCTCTGCAAAGTTAAACAGCTTGCTTCTGGCCATACACACAAGTAGGGAATACACCAGACTTGAACTCAAGTTTCTTTGATGTTGATTCACAGATGTTTTATTTGCATCTACAACTTTTTCTCTGCTTCTGGCCAGTTTAATTTTCTTCTAGTGCAAACTGGGACACCAGGCAAACAGTGCCTCTGGACAGAAACCAGACTCACAGGAACCAGAACAAAACCTCTGGGAATGGAAGCCCCAGCTCACTGCCTGGGAAATGCCATGGTTTTCAAAGCTGCAAGCAGTTTGGCTTGTCATCCCAGATCTCAAGCTTTGGCTACCTTTACTTCCAAATCTATTATTTGGATGAATTAAGATTTCCTATTTTCAAAGAGATGACTTTTATAAAAATTTTTTCTTCTTTTAGGCAGTTAACATTAAGCTGGCAGCATAATTGTTAAAAAGTAAACTTACTTTGATATTTTACAAAGCATAAGCCCAAATAATAACAAACATGGGAGTCTATCACAGTCCTTGCAGGATTTAGTAAACATTCTATGCATAGGAAAACATCTCGGGTAAAATCTGCTAAGCCAATATTGGCTTAATTCAAAATTACACCTAATTTGAAACAACTGTTTTTCTTTTGCCAACTCACTACCCTATTGTTTTTTAGTAAGAATAATAATAGAAAGTTCAAATGTAAAGTCAAGTTCCTCCCCTAAAAACCTATGTTTCATATTAACAGGGTTCTTTGGGGAAACACTCCTGCTAGGAGCTGAGCTCTTCTCTACCCCAGAATGGGAGAATCAGGAGAGGGTAGGTAAGAGTCCCAAACACTTGGAAATTTACCTTCAAGTATGAGAGGAAAATTAGACTTTGTCCTAGTGAACCAACTCTTGGCAGAGGTCAGAATTAACATCCAAAGGCCTCTGCTGTTTTTCTTTCTCCACATCCTGCTCAGGGGAGAGCCCAGGATGGATCCTTGGTGCTGTAACCTGTTCTTTTCCACCAAAGCAGAGTATGCTATGGGATGCATATGCCAGTATATAATTACCCATTTTTCTGTTGGTGGGAGGGGTGGCTTTGGGTTGCTCTCAGTTCTGAGGTGTTGTAAGAAAAGTAGCTACGAGCCACAGGAAGAAGGTGATTAAGCTACAGACTGAATAGTGGCCCCTCCTGTTCATATGTTAAAGCGCTAACCCTCCTCCCAATTTTACAGTTAAAGTTCATTTTTTGTTTTTGTTTTATTTTATGATAAGGAAGATTGAAAACAAAGGCATGGTACTTAACTACATCATAAGCCCTTCAATTTTTTTTTTTTTAATTTTAAGACAGGATCTTAGTATTTTAAGATGGTAAATTGTTCAGGCTGTGCTCAAATTTGTGATCCTCCTGCCTCAGACTCCCAAAGCACTGGAATTACAGGCATACACCACTGATGCAGTGTTAGGCTTTTATCCTGATATTCCCCAAAGCCTCATGCACTCATAGGTGGGACTAGATGCACTCATAGGTGACTGGATTATGGGAGTGTGATACTGGATTATGCATGTGTGGTATAGATTAGTCCCCTCATGGGTCTATAGCTCAGAGTGATGTTGGAAAGTGAAGCCTGGTGAGAAGACAAGGATCACTGTGGCATGGCCTGGAAGGAGACATGAATGCATTGTGGTGTTTCACTTCTTTCCCACTTTGCCATGAGCATGTCTCCTCTACCAGGCCCCTCAGTCATACTTCTCTGCCTTGGAGCCAGCCAACTGTAGACTGAGACTTCTACAAACTGTGAGCCAAAATAAACACTTCCTCCTTTAACTTACAGATATTGAGAATTTTGCCCAAGCAATGAGAAAACAACTAGAATATACACTTTAGATTTTAAATGTCCCCAAATATTGTGTGATAAAGGCTTGGGCCTATTGGGAAACAGAAGAACCTTTGTAAGGGAGAGCTTAGTGGAAGATCTTGTAGGTCACTGGGTGCATACCCTCAAAGGGCATGATGATGATTGGACTCTGCCTTGAACTCCTTCCCTGATGTGCAGCACCCCCACTACAGTCCTAAATGCAATGTGTCTGCCTACTCAGGGACTGGACCTGTGTTAGCCAAAATAAATGTTTTTTCCCTTAAGTTGATTGGACTTTGGTATTTGTTACGGTAACAGAGAGCTGACTAACATGGTTACTATATTTGGAGAAGGGGTCCTTAAGGAAGTAGTTAAGGTTAAGTGAGGTCAGAAGGTCAGGGCCCTGATCTAATAGGATTCATGTACTTTTAAGAATAGGAAGCAGAAAGCTTCCTTTTTCCATGTCCAAAGACCAGTCACCAGTGCAGAGAGGAAGGGAGCTGTCGGCAGGCCAGGAGGAGCATCTCCACAGGACCTGGGCATGCCCGCACCTCATTCTGGTGTCCAGCCTCTAGAACTCGGAGAAATATTTTTATTATTTAAGCCCTGCAGTTTAACTCTTGGTATTCGTTATGTCTGCCATAGCAAACTAATACAGGCTGAAGGTAAGGGACAAGAAAGGGCTTTTCATGTAAAAAAGGTGGAAATTGTCTTGATTGGAGTGGCGGCCACATGGTAGATACATAGGTAAACAAATCTATCAAACTGTCCACATGTACATTTTGTATACATAAGTTTTACTGACATATTACTGAACTTTTATCAAAATTCTTAATTACCCTTTTCCCAGTGGTTCTGTTTCTAAAAGATAACAATATAATCTGCATATGATTGCGCAGGCCTGGCAGAAAAGAAATCAATGTACATTATTTATCATATACATATAGTCATCCATCTATGTATGTGGATTCTATTTCTGTGGTGTCAGCCAACTATAGGAGGAAAATATCTTCTAAAAATTGTCTCTGTATTGAATGTATGCAAACATTCTTTTCTTGTCATTAGTCCCTAAACTATACAGTATAACAATATTCACACAGAACTTATGTTGCATTAGGTATTAGAAGTAACCTAGATGATTTAAAGCATAAGGGTAATGTGTGAAGGTTGTATGCAAACTCTTTGCCATTTTATGAAGAGGACTTGGGCATCTGAGGTTTGAGTATCTGCACAGTCCTGGGACCGGGATTACTCAAAGATACCAAAGAATGACTGTGTTTATATGTGTTCTGTATGCAATAAATAACTTGGGGATTAAGCAATTCACCCGAGACAAGCACCTACCAGATGCAGATCTAGATTCAGGCCTGGGTTTGCAGACTTCAGAGGCAGTGTCCTTTCTGTCACCCTGGATCTGACAGGGACATGCATAGCTGAGGAAATGGGCAGGGAAGGCACCCTGGGGGGCCGTGGAGTGGCCAGGGTACCCTGGGGTCAGGAGGCAGCTCTTCGGGACCCATTCCCTGGTTCACCATCTCCGATCTTTCCGCCCTAGGAAAGGAGCCCCACAAGCCTACAGCAGCACATGCAGAGCAACAGAAACAGCTCCAGAAAGAAGCCACACACACAGGAGGCTGCGGCCAAGAACAACAGGAAGCTCCCGCCACCCTGCCCACAGCAGCGCTGGCCTGAGATCCAGGGCGATGGGCTCTAAAGGCCTTCCGCAGATGTTACACAAACCAAACCTCCGTTGACTCCAGTTCTGGCCTGTACGAAAATAGCCCTTGGGCTGCAGTCCACAGTCCCTGCCATCCCCCATGCCCTCTGTGTGTGTGTGTGTGTGTGTGTGCGTGCGTGCTGCTTCCCTGTGTAGACTGTATGTGCAGGAACATTTGTGCTTGAGAACCAGATGCAGGGCACATTGGCTTTCCTGGCTGGTCAGCCACCAGGCATCCCTTTGAGACCTTGCATGGCCATTTGCCAAGGAACACATCTCTTCTCTCTCTAGGGAGGTAGGAAGCAGCTCTCTGCTTTTCTCCCTTCCTCCCTCTCTCCTCTCCCTCCATCTTCATCATTTGTTTAGAGTTGAATTTGAAGGAAACCCCAAAACCCAACTTTCCAGGAAAGAACCCTAAGTTTTCTTGTCAGAGAGCAGAGAAGGACTCGCACATCCATGCCTCAATATGCAGTCGCTCTGATCTTTGCCATTTTAGTTCAGGAACCTTGAAGCTGTTATTCATCTTTTTGCCTTGGCTGCCTACACTTCTTGAGAATCTTAACTGGCAAAAGTGAAACACCTGCAATTAAAAAATACTATGTCAGATACTCACTGTATGCCTGTAACTCAGCTATGGTATGCATCTGATATATTTAATTTTTATTGATCAGTCCTAAAAGAGTGTTATAATTATTATCTCCAGATGACAGAAGAGTGAACTGAAGATTGGAAAAATTATAGAACTTATCAGACTTGTTGCAGGGTTGAACCCCAACTCGAGCTGTTGGGCCACAGCGGCCACGGCTCATACTGCTGCCCGCATTCTCCTCTGATCAAAGCTCAAGCTCTGGGGTTTGTTTTCATTGCTGTGCAATATATCCAGCCAGTATATAGATTGTGTCCTCTGGAAAAGATGATATTTTAGTTTAGGACAGGAAAAAAATGTATGATGTATTGTAGGTGAACATTTAGCTCATATTTTATCAATATTGCACTTAAATTTTATCAAGTTGCACTTTGATTAAGAGAGGGCTTTGGGTCGCTCGCCCTCCGTGCTGTGCTGTCGCTACCCGCTGCCCCCTTGCCGCCCACCATGGCGCTGCTGCACTCCAGCCGCGTCCTCTCCGGCGTCGCCGCCTTCCACCCGGGCCTTGCCGCCGTAGCCTCCGCCAGGGCCAGCTCCTGGTGGACCCATGTGGAAATGGGACCTCCAGATCCCATCCTGGGAGTCACTGAAGCCTACAAGAGAGACACCAACAGCAAAAAGATGAACCTGGGCGTTGGTGCCTACCGCGACGACAACGGAAAGCCCTACGTGCTCCCTAGTATGAGGAAGGCGGAGGCCCAGATTGCTGCAAAAAATGTGGACAAGGAATACCTGCCCATCGGGGGTCTGGCTGAATTTTGTAAGGCATCTGCAGAACTAGCCCTGGGGGAGAACAACGAGGTGTTGAAAAGTGGCCGGTCTGTCACCGTGCAGACCATTTCCGGAACGGGGGCCTTAAGGATTGGAGCCAGCTTCCTGCAAAGATTTTTTTAAGTTCAGCCGAGATGTCTACCTGCCCAAGCCGTCCTGGGGAAATCACACCCCTATCTTCAGGGATGCTGGCATGCAGCTACAAGGTTATCGTTACTACGACCCCAAGACTTGCGGGTTTGACTTCACTGGTGCTGTAGAGGACATTTCAAAAATACCAGAGCAAAGCGTTATTCTCCTCCATGCCTGTGCCCACAATCCCACGGGAGTGGACCCTCGCCAAGAACAATGGAAGGAAATAGCATCATTGGTGAAGAAAAGGAATCTCTTTGCCTTCTTTGACATGGCCTACCAAGGCTTCGCCAGCGGTGATGGGGACAGGGATGCCTGGGCCGTGCGCCACTTCATTGAACAGGGCATTAACGTTTGCCTGTGCCAGTCATATGCCAAGAACATGGGCTTGTATGGAGAGCGTGTGGGAGCCTTCAGCATGATCTGCAAGGATGCGGATGAAGCCAAACGGGTCGAGTCCCAGTTGAAGATCTTGATCCGTCCCATGTATTCCAACCCTCCTCTCAACGGCGCCCGATTGCCTCTACCATTCTCACTTCCCCGGATTTGCGAAAGCAATGGTTGCAGGAAGTGAAAGGCATGGCCGACCGCATCATTAGCATGCGCACGCAGCTGGTCTCCAACCTCAAGAAGGAAGGTTCCTCTCACAACTGGCAGCACATCACCGACCAGATTGGAATGTTTTGTTTCACAGGCCTAAAGCCAGAGCAGGTAGAGCAGTTAACCAAGGAGTTCTCAATCTACATGACGAAGGACGGCCGCATCTCAGTGGCAGGGGTCACCTCTGGCAATGTGGGCTATTTGGCCCATGCCATTCATCAGGTTACAAAGTAATCTCCAGATGCAAGGAGCAGAGACAACCTTTCGATCTTGGCCTCTGCTGTTGTGAGAGTCACGTGCAGGCTGAGGGAGGGTGGATGGTGGGGAGTGGATCGATTCTTTCATCAACAGTGTATACCATTCAACAGTTGAATGTGTTTCTCCGAAAAAAAAAGCATAGTGAAATAAGGCAGAGACCTGGTGGCTGGTCTGGAGCTTTGTGGCTGTAAACCAAACTCTCCCCCATTCTTTTGTCTCCAACTTTTCTAAAAGAGTTTACACATGCAAGAAAGTCAGCACCAAAAAAACTGTATTCAGGACATTGCAATATTTCAGAAGCTTTAACTGAAGCGCCATGTGGTTTTAGGGTTCCCTCTGTGGCCCCAGCAGGAGGCACAGCTCGTATTAGCCATACGAGAGAGAAGACCCAGCCTGTCACTAACGGTCGTTAATGCACATTTGTCCTCCGTGGTGCAGCAGGCACATCGACAGACCAAACTACAAAATTACACTTTACGAAAACCAATGAGTGTGTTACCCCTGCTGCAGCAAGGAAAGCAATAGATGCTGCTTCCTGTCTTATGTAAGAAAAGGAGAGAGAAGGCTCTCCTCTTTATCATTGTTGTACTTTAGTCATGAAGACCTATTACATCTAGCCAGATTTTCACCCCATTCTACTGTGATTGACCATCAACCCCGTCCTATCAGGATTTATTTAAGAATAAAAACCATAATTCTCTGCTCATGCCATTCCTTCTCCTTTCTTAGTGAAGAATAGTGGAGAGTAGGTAACTGCACTGCGCTGCAGGGTCTGCTTCAGTGGCAGTGTCACTGTCCCTGCCAGCCAGACCACTCCCTTCCCCAGTGCATGCGGCTCACCGCCGCTCCCTCCACTCGCCGCTGGGCAGTCAGGGCAGCATCAGGAAGGAAGATCACCACCATCTGCTCTAATCATGTAGACTTACTGCAGCCTGGTTTCTCTGTTACAATAAAATTATTGTAGACCCCCCCCAAAAAAAAAAAAGAGAGAGGGCTTTGGGTTCTTTATGGGATATAGATTCCCAGATCGGGTCTCCAGCCTGAAACTAAAGCTGTACTGCCCTGGAGGAGGGAAGCTGGAAAGAAGGCCATAGGGAACATGGGAGAGTTTCTTGCAGAGGCCCATATTCAAGTGAGGGCCTGCATCCAGGCTGTGGCTATCGATCCATCAGGGGCTTGTGTTAGCTGAGAAATCCCAGCATTCTGAGGAATTTCACTACGGAGTCTGAGTCTGTACTTGGCTGCCTGCTATGACTCCTGGTCACTAGCTATGGCAACATTAGCCTTTAAATAAATCAAATCAAAGTTTCAGTGTATCTCAGAAATAAAGCCTACTTCTGAAGCTTCCCTTGGTTTGTTCTTCATTCATTCATTTTGTCTATCTACATATACATCCTTCTACTCATCCATCCATTCCAGAGACATTTCTGGTGTATTCACTATTCACTACTAGGCTCTGGGAGTGCAGGGACGAATATCAATAAAACACAGTCCTTGCCTTCCAAGAGTTCAAGTTCTGATGGAGAAGAAAACAGAAAACAGTTATGGAGCACAGCCACCCAGATAGTGACAGTTGCAATCCAGATTCTGAAGGCCCAGGAACCCTTCATTCGGCTCAGTCTGTGTTCCAGGTCCCAGTAGGGTATGGCTCTGTGAACAGCTGGGTCTGTGCAGAGGGAGGGGGTGAGTGTACATAATGGCTCCTGATGAGACTCTTTGGGACACTTACCTTCTTCTCTTGAGCTTCCTTTCCTGTGCTAAGACCTCTGCTACTCCACACGGGACCTCTTGGCAGACTCCTCCCCTTTGCTCATTGTCTTCTTAGGGGAGCCCTGTGGTTTATCTAATTGGAGAGTTTGAAGTTCAGGCAGAAAAACTAGGATTGGGTGACTGAGCTCCTTCCCTGGTTGGGACAATTCCATTCCACTCCTCTGCACCATACTTTGCAGAGGTCAGCTTTTGAGAGAGGGTGCTGCTTGTAGCTGGGTGAGTGGGTTCAGTACAAGGGAAGAGATGGCAAAGCCCACTTGCCTAATATATTTGAGGCCACATCCTCCAACTCAGCTACAGTCAGTGTCTTCTGTTTTGATTTCCATTGGTCTAATTCCTGAGGCAGGAAAGAGAGGCACTATTTATTGGACTCTCCTGAATCCCAGCATGGATTATGCTTATATGTCATCCCTAAGTGGATGACCGGATGGGCTCATCACTTTGGTTTGACTGAGGGTAAGCGACATCCGTGTGCTAAGATCAGGGACACTGGGATCTGTAGAGAGAGAAGGCACATCTTCAGGGACTTCCCTCTTTTATGCCTTGCTTTTAGCTCATTTTGATGTAGCTCTGAAGCAAGAGAGAGAGAGAGAGAGAGAGAGAGAGAGAGAGAGAGAGAGAGAGAGAGAGAGATGCAGGATGAAAGGAGAAAATAAGGATGGCCTTCTATGAAAGTCTGCAGGAATTCTACAAAGGCCACAGACTCTCTTGGATCCCAGCCTGGAGTTCTCAGTGATGTTCCCAATAAGACACAGGGTAGCTGGCTGCCCTCCTCTGGGCTGTCTTCATTTTGGAAAGACCCCTTTTGGAAATGTGTTCTGGCTTGCCTTTGTAGAACACCTTTACCTCTTGTTTCTCATGTTTTTCTGCTTCCTGCAGGCTGAATTTGGGATTATATTTGTCCTTAGAAGAATATGCTGTGTCAAAGTCATCCTGTGTCTCTTAAAAGGCAGGTCAGGATCATTGTCTCCCCCTGCCCACTTCAAGTGACAGATGACTAAGATGAAAAGAGGGACGGGTGGGGAGCATTCTGAAAGAATCGGCAAACATTCACTTATTCACCCTTTCACATTTTCCTACGAGCCACTATCATTTCACTAATTCTTTTTTTTTGACATCAGTTATTTTTATTTTAAAGAAAAAAAAAATAAAAACAATGGTACAAAATCTCAAAACAAGATTTTAGGAGAGTAACAATGGTTAGTACATTGTGTATTGTTACTGCCAAAGTAGTTTCTCATATTACAAGATATAGGCAAGAAATAATAAATAAACAACATAGGTGCAAACCTCTATTTTTTTTTTTAAGTCAACAGAAAATGGAAATATACTTTTTGGCTGATTCTTCATGTGGAAACGGGGTTGTTTTATTTCCTGGTTTTGACACGGAAAGCGTCAGAGTTGCCAATAGCCCAGTAGAGGGAGCTGTTTACAATTACCCATGCTGACGGCTAAGACTCAGCCGAGCTAGTGGTCCTATGTATTTGTATGTATAGAGGGATGTTCGCCTGTTCAAAAGCTCTGAGTCACAGCAAAGCTTTTGCAAGGTGATATCTGAGGTCTTGTGGCCTTCCCAGGGCTGCACATCTTGCTTCCATCAGCAGAGTTTGGTTTGGCCCAAGCTGCCGCTGTTATCTTCATGGATTCTATAGACAGGCCTGGCTCCAGCCTGCTGAGGAGATGGGCCATCCCACTGACCTGGCACACACCTGGGCAACGCTGCTCATGTTAGGCTCTGCAGAGATAGATCCTGTGGCAGAAAGGCCTATCACAGAGATGCTTTATCAGTGATAGCCTTGGAGGGCAGTGGCCAGGAAGGAGCTGCATGCAGTAAAGGAGAAATCTTCAAAAATGCTAGAGCTTATGTTCACCTATACCAAGCTCCCTGTGAGCCCTTGGACCAGGCTGAGTTTAAATCATAGGAAGCCTTCAGTATGATAAAGATTTTTATTACATAAATCTCTGTAGCCAGTCAAGATGAAACATGGGAAATATCAGGCAAATGCAATCATATGTGTGTGGGTACATAGTTTCATGTGTAGATTGGCCTGGGAAATTGCCAGAATTGATTGCAGGTCATGAAAGATACTTATGGCAGAAACAAGAGACTAAGCAAAGGTGACCTCTCTGAGGACTAGTCAGTTTCTCACAGGCTAAAAATCCAAACAAACCTGTTGGCAAATAAGAGGGAGCCAAGATGGCACATGAGGATGGTACCCTTCATCACATACATTAGCTTGCTGGGCTGCTATCGCAAAGCACCTTGGACTGGGTAGCCCAAGTGGCAGATGGTTATTTTCCCATCATTCTGAAGACTGGACGCCCAGAGTCACAATGTTGTGTGGTTTCTCCTGTACCCTTCATTATCACCCCTCTGTGCACACATGTCTCTGGTTTCTTTCCCTTCTCATGATACCAGCTATGTTGCCTTGACATCAGTGACCTCATTTTAATTTAAATACCTCTTTAAAGAAAAAAAAACAGGCATATTCTGAGGCACTGGGAGTTAGGACTCTAACACATGAATTCAGAGCTTTGGAGACTAGTGCCAGTGCATATGTGTGAGGTCTAAGAAATTGTGCTGATTATGGCAAGTAATATTGGCTTTTATAACCAATGAATTCTAAAGTCTTAGGGCTTAAAACGATAAATTTTTGTTACATGAAAACCCATTTCAAGCAGCTAGAGACTGTGAGACAGCTGTGTAGAGCACAGTCATTTGGGGACTTCGCTGGCATCTCCAACACATGCAGTGTCTAGGGACAGTTTGGAAGGGAAAGTCAAGAGGAAAGTGCAGGGAAAGGCACACAGTGCTCGACAGCTTGGCCCAGAAGTCATGGTTCACTTCCATTTCCATAGTGTCAACGAGGGCAAGTCTTATATCTCTGCCTAGATCAAAGAGGCCTGGAACCATAGTTTTGCTATGGCAAACAGAAACACTGAAGCAGGTTTGGAGGCAGATTTATTTAACATCGGATGGCCACTGACAAGGAATGAATCCTTATAAAAATATCAGGCCTGGAAGGCCCAGGAGGGGAGGTTTTTATGGGGTTGCAAAAGGGAGGTACAAAGGTAAAGTACTTGGCCATCTTCACTTGGTTCTTGCAATATGCACTGTAGTATATGTAGTGTAGACCACCATTTCCAAGAAGCAGAGATAACAGGAACTATAACAGGAACCATTACCTGGACAATTACCAGACACTGAATTATACTGGTGGGGGGGGCACATTTTCTGCTACAGTTTGTTCCGAGACCACGGACTCTCCCCGGCCATCTGGGAGGAAAGGCCCGTCTGGTGAGTGAGACTCGTGAATTGAATTATCAGTTGTGTTATATTTGGAGCAGCTCTTCCTCCTTGTCTTCAGGATCAGCTGGAAAGGAATTACCAAGCGAGTGCAGATCATGAACATGAATATGCATCAGGAGATGCCGTGAAAGAGAAGGAAACAGAAGGCAGTTTCTTGAACATTTAATGTAAGTTCAAGATTTTAAAATGTATACATAGTTTAAATGTTATTTACTTTGAATTAACAAATATTTAGCCTCATCTATAAATAACTCAGCTAATGCTTACAAATTATAGAAAAATGTAGCTGGAGCACAACTTGGCAAAGAGGCTGAAAGCCAACTCAAAACCTCATGCTTTTACAAACACCTCTTTAAAAGAAGCCAACTGCAGCCCTGAGATTTTTGTGCCATCAGAAAATCTTTATTTTTTTCATTTAATTTTGAGATAAGTTCTCACTAAATTGCTCAGTTGATTATCCTAGGTTCGGACCCATGATTCTTCTGCATTAGCTCCCCCAGGGCCCTACAGACAGGGCCAACCCACACAGCTGCCACCAGAGAAACTCTGAAATGTTGGTAGCCCAGACTTCTTAAGTAAAAATGCCAGATAGCATTTAAATCTAATTTATGTTATACTTTCAAATTAAATAATATTTATACCTATAAACCAACTCTCTCACAGAAAGTGTTTTCGCTTTTTACGTAGTTATGAGAAATAAATTGAAGAAATCTTGTATTAAGATTTTAAAAGCAAGCAAATAAGTTCCAGGATAAAATCCAAACTCTTTGTCATCTCCTTTCTCCATTTTCATCAAATATGGGAACATTTAACCACACAGGAAGAAGTTGGTGGACTTGGATAGTTGCTAAATTCTCTGATTTGAACCAATCTACATTAAACACAAGCTGTTACTTTATTAACAAATGAGGGATAAGCACCACTTAGCTGAATGGCTGTGGGACAGAAGTCAGTTTGGTGAAGCTCAGGAATACTTGAAAAAAATGAGTGATTCCAACAGAAATCTAAGGAGAGAAGGAATTCCAGAGACTGGATAGGCCCCAACTATCACGTATCACACTGTTGCCACCCACAAAATCTAGGCTGAAAAGATCACTGACTCCTAGATCTCACAAGGGATATGTGAGACCATTTTAGGCGGTATAACGACAAACAACTTAATTTTAGTAGGATGTACTTAAGCCAATGCATGTCAACAAAAAATCCTTCAGCATGGTGAATATGATTTCATCAACAATCTTACCTAGAATGAAGAGTGGGATGAATACGAATATTTATATTACAAGTACAGTTCATCCTCACTTCTCACAGATTCTGTACTAACCAAATGTACGTGCCCTTCCAATGTCAGTGCTCATAGCAGCAAAAATGCTCAAATTGTCCCTTGCATACATTGTCAGCTGAAGTCTGAGGAGGCAGTGCCATACCTGTTCTTTTTCTTTTTTAATTTATATTTTTGGTACAGAATCTCACTACACAGCTTGGACCTGTAGTGATCATCCTGTTTTCAGCCTCCCCAGCACTGGGATTACAGGTGTGTGTCACCACACCCAGAGTCTCGGTCACCAGCTCAGTGTGCCTGAGGGCAGAACCTGCATGGCATGCAGTACTGGGGATTGAACCCTGGTCCCTGCACTTGCCTAAGCAGGCACTGAGCCCATTGAGCTATCTCGCTAGCCCCATATCTGTTCTTTTCAGCTTTCATTCTGTACACAGATGCATAAAGCAGACTGTTTAGTGCCACCTTTTCTTTTTGCATTTTTGTGCTGTTTGTTGGTGCTTCTGCCATTGAAGATGGCCTTCAACTGCTGCAGTGCGGGCCATTCTTCTCAAGCAGAAGTAGTGATTTGCCTTATGGAAAAGATATGTATTGGGGAATCTTCATTCATGCATGCAGTACAATGTTGATGGTCATGAGTTCCATGCTAGAAAATCAGTAATATGTACTAAGTAACGTGTCTTTAAACAGAAAGGCACATAAAACAAAGTCATATATTGATTGAGTGATAAAAATGTTGTGACTAGAGATTTGAAGAAATCTAGCCTTGTATTCTCCAAGGAGCAACTCATTAATTTAAGATTTGCAGAGATTATGTCATAAACACAATTAACTTGAGTGAGCCTTGACCCTGAATAACAGAGGTGGTCATGGTAGATACAAGATGCGCCTTCCAGATCTCTCTAGGAGGCCTTGCTGCCCATTTGTGTGCAGTGAGCTCAGCAGACAACCTCCAGCTGCAGAGATCCAGGCCACCCAAGGTCAGGCCTTTCTCTGTTCTCGGACCCTCCAACAGAGGTTAGACCTTCTCTCCTGCTCCTGACCCTCCGCCCTCCTTGCTGTGTCACTGAAGCTTTGTTAGGCCCATGCTGCAGCTGGACTTCTCTCTTTGCCCAGTTCTGCCTCCCTGCTGTTCCTTCCACAGTGCTTTCTTAATAAACATTGGACTTAAGTTCCACCGTTCATTTCAGCTTCAGTGTCCAAGAAAGCCAATCCATCATTTACAGATGTGGCAGAACATAGAAACACACTGTGCTGACCCCTTCTCGTCCTTCTTCTGCCCTCCAGAGGCTTTCATCTCCCTTGGCCCCCTCTCCCTGGTTCTAGGACCTTGTCTAGAACAGACACCCATGAGACACCCATCCAGCCCATGGCCTCTGCGTAAGACTGTGAAATCTAGAAAAGATGACCCAAATCCTGCTTATGCTTCCCTCACCCAGTTGTGGGTCTCGGAAAGGGGATGTGTTGAGAGAGAGGGTGCCTGCTCTTTACTTTCTCCCAGTAGCTATAAAGCTAGAACTTTTCCCTTCTCCCGATCCCCCTGTGGCCTGGTGTGCCCTCTTCCTGTTCAGGCTCTTGTGGGGTTCAGCCTCCTGAGCAGAGTTAACTTTTGCCTTTGCCTCCTGCCTCAGCATGTTCATTGTTACAGCTTCTCACTTAGGGCCTCGTCTTCCTGTCTACTCCAGGAAGAGAGCTCATGAGCTAAAGATAAAATCACTTCCATGTCTTCCCTTCAGAAACAGCTTGTGCCAGAAAGCACCTGTGAGAGACTCTTGCATCCCATTCCCTCCTCATCTCCCTAAATCACACATGTGCTCTGCATGCTAGAAAAAAAATGATCATGTCATGTCTCTCTGTGAGGTACTTTCAAATAGCTCAGAGAAATTTATAGAAACAATAGCTAATGTACTGGGATTAACTACATGTCAAACACTTCACTAAGTGCTTTATGTATTTTATTTCATTTAATCCTCATAACAACCTGAAGAGGTTGGTATTAATAGTCCCATTTGGCAAGTGAGGAAATGCAGGCTTAGGGAGGTGCAGGAGTTTGGCTTGCACCTAGGAGTCAACAGAGTGCGATTTCACATGTGCTGCATCTGCATCCAGAGCTGGTGTGAGGACTGCCGCAGTGTGGGTTAAAGACCCTGCTCAGCCTGAGCCTGGCGTCCTGAGCCAGAAACAGCAGGGCAGTTAGCAGAAGCAAGCAGACACACAGGCAACCCTCGCCCTGCAGGGAGCAGGCTGCTTTCCTTTCTCCTGTAAGGGATTCAACTCCAGCCCCAGACTGAACTGGGATGAAGATCTAAGTGTGGAAGACTAGTTGGCTTCATTTTCACCACGTGTCCAGTCATTTGTCATCCTTTAAAGACCGTTTCCTCTGCACCTGCACCCAAAAATGCATCCAGGATCCAATGTTTTCAGAAAGAATTATACAGACCTCCTGTCTTGCTCCTTACCCGAGCCTCCCACTCGCAACCTGGCAGTTTGTGGAGAACTGGGCCAGACCACTAGGGCTGGGGGTGGGGCCGGGAATGTGGAGAAGAGAGACCCCTTCCTCCCTGACCATTTGGCTTCCTGACATTTCAGGGTAGGGGGTGGAACAAATGCTGGGAAGGAGATTAAAGGCTGAACTATGGATTTGTCTTAATCCATTTTTCATCCAGGAGTCCCACGAACATTGACAGTTTTCGCGGCATTGCTGCTGGAATGTGTTGTCACTCTTTGAAGAGACTTCAGAAAGACGTCAAGTCTGATGTCCAGATTCTTAGGTCTGGCTTTGTCATGGTGGTGGGCAAGATTATTTTTCTTTTCTAGTTCTCTAATGTTTGTCAAGAAGAATAATTTCTGTGAATAAACTGATTTATTCTTAAGTGAATAGTTTGATTGATTGTCCATTAATTAAAGGCCCAAACATGGATATTAGTGGCATTCCAAGCCTGAACCAGATGCTCCAGCTTTCGATTTTCTTATCTAGAGTACTGGGTGTTAGCTCTGAGTCTTTTCCTTGCAGAATATGGGTTCATGAGGTTTGGCTTGTTGAGCCAGCTTCCAAGCCAACCCCCTAACACAGTCAGCCCTAAGGAATTGCCTTCACTCTCAAAGGCCTTTGCAATGCACTTTTTCCTACTTAAAGGAAGAGATCAGAATGGGCAGTAAAATCAAAACTTATCTCTAAGATTTCTGCCAGGGAGGCTGATTGCAGGCTTTGCAATCAGGCAGCTCGGGATGAAGTCTCGCCTCTATCATTTGTTCATTGGTTGAAGCTGGACAACATTACTTGACTCCTGAGGCTCAATTCTCAATTTAGAAAATGAGCACAATTCTTAAGGCTTCATTTCAGCGCTGTGAGGGTGAAGTGGGATTGTGTGTGCTAACCCTCAGCAAAGAGAGGCGCTGGAGCTATCACAGTTACGCGACTAAAAGAGAAATTCAACATATGGTCACAAATTCTCATCTAGAATCCTGAAAACGTCAGGAGGTAAAAGAAGCCATGTGCCAAAGGCCACGTGTTATATAATCTCACTGGTGTGAAATGCCAAGAATAAGCAAATCTGCAGAGACAGAAGTTGATTAGCAATTGCCTAGGGCTGGAGGGCGGAGGACTGGGATTGATTTCTAGTGAGGTTTGTGTTTATTTCAAGGTGTGAAAAATGTTCTGTAAATAAGTATCGATAATGGCTGTTCAAATTTATAAATAGACCCAAACCATTGAGTTGTACACAATTAAAAGGATGAGTTTTATGTATGTGAATTACATGTTTTTCATTTTTTAAACAGAATAAAAATGGTAAAAACCATCAGAAGTGATCCAGAATTTCACTGAACAAAATAATAGGAATTATATGTTTTTAAAAGTTAAAAAAAAACCAAAAATGTCTATTATGCAGTTAAAACCATGAACTTTGAAGCTGATTTGTTTCATGGAGTCTCTCTACCTTTCCAGTCCTGGAAAAATAATTAAATTCATCTCACTGGAAGTCCGTATCTCTTTCTAGGTAAATCATTTGTTATATGGAGACTGTGCCATAAATGTCAGCCAGTCGCAGTTTGGGCATTTGTGAGGATCAGTAACAGTGTTCTCTTGGCACTCTGCGTGAGTGCCAAGCACTTGGATTTATGGGAGTGAAGAATCAACCCACCACCCCTCAACCAGGAGCCTCTCTGCACCTCAGCTCACCTGGGAGATGTTCCAGGTGGCAACTGAGCTGCTTGCCCTCCATCCAGAATAGGAAATCTGTTCCCTAACAGAAATAGGTCTGTTGGACTAACTGAATATTTTCACCATAGCCATCGGATCTAATTGTAGGTGTGTGTGTGTGTGTGTGTGTGTGTGTGTGTGTGTACGTGCATGAGCTGTGGGGTGATGAGTGATGGGGCCTGTTGCAAGCCGGGGAGTTTTGGACAGTCATCAGTATGTTGCAAAACTGGAGTGGAGCAATTCTGGAATTTCATTGAAGCCCATTGCATGCTTCCAAAGTATGATTGAAAAAAATGCGGTGTTTTTCACATTTATATCTTAGACAAGGCTGTCAGTACTGCTTAGGGACAACGTCTTTCAGTGTGAATAGGGTTGCAAGATTTTGATAAAAAATTATTTCTTTACTGTTTGGAATGTCTGTATAGATTTGCAGCCTTTCATTTTGCTTTAAAATATGATTAAATATGCTTTTAAAAAAATCAAAGACTTCTTTATGGGTTTGAATTTCTTCCAGATTTATTGCTGGTTAATATTATATATACCATGATGATTTTTTTTTTCTTGGTTCAGTAATGTCCACTGAGATCCTTTCAAAGAAAAGAAGCATTTCTAAAAATGGATTCTTTAATCTGCTTCATTAAGAGTTGAAAAAATATATCAAAGCCCTTATCAGAATACTTTATTTAAAACAATATTGTGCTGTAACTGCTAGGTGGAACAGAGAGACGAGAGAAGCTGAGAGAGCTCAGGGAAGACAGAAGATTGAATTGAAGGAAGGGCCAGCCAAATAGCTCAGCTGATTAAGCCACCTGCTTAGGCAGACTCAGGGGCCAGGAGTTCGATCCCCAGGCCTGCTGTGCCGGCCATGTCTCTGGGGTGTGCTGAGCCATGATTGAGACTGGGTGTGGTGGCATGCACCTGTAATCACAGTGCTTGGGAGGCTGTAAACAGGAGGATCACTATGAGTCCGATCTATGCAGTGAACCCTACACCCTGTACACCCTGCCCTAATTTAAAAAAAAAAAAATGAAATGGAGGAAAATAGAAAGTTCTGCTTGGACTAGCATGGACACACCAGGCTCTTTTTTGACATCTGTTTTTACAGAGAATAAAGCGTCCTGTAAGACTTGGGACCAGCTTGTAAGAGGTGCTGGATACAGTGCTGTGTACTAAAAATCAAGAGACTGGACTAGGGGAGGAAAAGTGTACTCAGAGGGCTGACCTGACAACCTAAGGAGCAGCAAGTAACATCAGCCGCCACACAGGGACGGTTTACTGTGTCTGGACACACAACTGGGAATTTCATCATTCTTCATGGAGTCCAGTGAAGTGTTTGTGATTGAGTCCATTCGACAGATGGAGAAACTGGTGAATTGGAGGAGGGTATGCAACTGAGCCCAAGCTCAAGCCACTTGGGGACAGTGTACCTAACATTGAACTAGATTAGGGGTTTTTTTTTTTTTTTTTTTTTTTTTTTTTGTATTTTGAGGAAGGATCTACAGAGTGTTCAGAGTCTCACTACTAGATAGGACTCATAATGATCTGTTTACAGCCTCCCAAGAGCTGGGATTACAGGTGTGTGCCACCACGCCCAGTCACAATTGCCATCTCAGTGTGCCCCAGGGTTGGGGCCAGCACAGCATGCCCGGGGATAGAACCCAAAGCCCCTGCATGTGCCTAAACAGAGCTTTAATCCACTGAGCTATTTGGCCAGCCCTTGAACTAGATTAGTTTGACTGATTCTTTTAACCATGAAAAAAAAAAAAAAAAAAAACCTAACAGATGAACTTGCAATCTTAAAACTGGGTTAATATCCCATTTCCAGAATCTTTTACTACTTAGTTACCCTATTACTAGATCCGGTCTCTAAACTGTTCCTCCTAGTGCCTTCCATTCAGGGGTGACACAGCTGGCCAGGGAAGAAGCTGTTCCAGGGGCTCCCTTTCCTCCACCAGCGTGAACTGAATGAAGTTCTAGATCCCCTCCCTTCTATTTCCCGGCACCTCACTCCCCCATGACTTTGCATCTGCTATTGCAGCTCAGAAGCTGCCCAACGCTTAACAGTCTGCTCTCCAGCCTCCCTGCTTTCCCAGGTCAATGGAGCCACTCAAAGAGTGTTTGGGAGGGTGCAGCCAGGGAGAGAAAGCCAAGGAGATAGTGAGTACTGCTGCAAGCCTCTAGGCCTGGGCTGGGCTGCACAATGTGGACATTTAAAATTGATCACCTCTGGGGTGAGGCTGGAGAGCACCCATCGTACTGACTAATGTGGGGTCATGGGCAGCATTAGGAAGGAAAGCCATCGCAGGGGAGGTTTTAGGGATGGAAGAAATTGAGAAAAGCTGGGGATTGTAAAAAAGGGAAATGGACCTGTAATCCCAGTGCTCAGAGCTCAGCAGGCTGAGGCAGGAGGATCAGTGTGAGTTTGAGACCAGCCTGGGTTACAAAGTGACTCAAGGCAATCCTGAACTGCATAGTGAGACCCTGTCTCAAAAAGAAAACAAAACAAAAAAGGAAATGGAGACCAGAATGATGATGCAGCCTCACTATGATCACTGGCCACGCTCTCCTGTGTCTGTAGTGCTTGGCAGGGGCCTCATCATGCCCCTGTCCTCAACCCCACATCCAACAAAGGGACCCAAAGGTGGTGGCATGGAAAACTAGCCCTGCTGCATAAAGAAAGGTGGCAGGCTTTTCTACATCCTAAAGGCAGCTTGTGCACTGGAATATCATTTTGCTTTGATGAGACTGAACTGCTGACATGTCTGTGTGTGTGTGTGAGAGAGAGAGAGAGAGAGAGAGAGAGAGAGAGAGAGAGAGAAAGAGAGAGACAGAGAGTACTTAAATGATTTTAATGTCAAGTTTAAGACTTCTTAATGGTTTAAATTCTTGAAAAGAATCTCCTCTCAAATCTAGGGACAGTCTCATGTGGTTTCTGAGAAAGATGAAAAGTTTAATAAGTGACAGTGATGTCACACATAAAGAGAAAGCAGATTCACAGTGTAGTCCAGGAAAGACAAGGCAGTAAGCAGGTGGCTTCAGGATTCTGTGCATCAGAGGTGAGTTAGGGACACTGCTCTTGAACCTTGTGCATGCTTGTGTCCTTAGAGGAAAGAGTGTTTAGGTTATACAGATGGTGGTAGAATGCAAAAACAAGCAAATGTCAACAGCTGGATATTTTCTCCCACCAATTTACCTTAGTCTCTACCAAGTAAGTGTGTAGTCCCACTGTTAAAACTCCTTTGGAGGGCTGCGGTGATAGCTCGGCGGTCTAAGTGCCTTACTGGCAAGTGCAAGAACCCAGGTTCATTCCCCAGTACTGCATGCCATGCTGGCCCAAACCAGCATGGTGGCGCATACCTGTAATCCCAGTGCTGGGGAGGCTGAGACAGTAGGGTCACTATGAGTCTGAGCCGCACAGAGAAACCCTGCCTCAAATAAATAAATAAATAAAATTTTAATAAAAGCTCCTTCTAATTTTAGGCAATCAAACCTTTAAAACAAAAGATGAAAAAAATACAAATATTTATTTGGAGAGACTTTGAAATTTGATTCCATTAATCCTCTATGCTAACCATTGTCTAAAGGCAATATAATGTATGCTAAAATTGCATTTTAAATGCAATTTAAAATTTTCCAGTGAAAAGGTTAAAATATTAAAGAGGTTGTGGAGATAGGAAGGGGATCTGGAGGAAGGCGCAGAGGAGAAGGGAAAGTGAGCATGATTAAGATTGGGTATGTATATGTGCCAGTTCCCTAAGGCAAATAATTACTATATATCACACATTAACAAAAAAAGAAACTAAAAGAAGCAAATAAGATTACAAATATATATTTTTATTTAACTCAATATATCCTAAATTTTACCATTTCAATATGTGGCCACTGTGGAAATTTATTAATGGAAAAGTTTATTTTCCTTAGGTTTTTGAAGTCTAGTGTATATTTTATATTTACAGCACATCCCAATTCAGTCGAGCTACATTTTATACATCAATAGCTGCGTATGGCTGGTTGGCCACTGAATCAATCAATACACCTCTAAACAATTGTCACAGAATCATGTAGGAAGAGAAACACAAGTAATTGGAAAACAGGAAACTCATCTTTCGTGAGCAGCTATGTGAAAACCACTGGGCTGTCCTGTTTCTTACTCCTCCCCACAAACCATCATGTCACCCTTATGAATAGGGAAACTGAGGCTTGGAGAAGGGAGACAAACTAGAGTCCAGTCCAGGATTCAGACACATGCCTGTGCTTTTCCTAGCTCATGATGTTGCTTCCTTCGATAGTACAAATCACCAGTTATCATTCCCCCAAGTTAATGCAGGGCAGTCGAACAATGCACATAAGGAGAAGTAGAAAACAGCCAAGCAATAAATGCTCCAAGAAGCAACAAGAAAGGGGAAAGCACAGCAAACTCCAATGACTTATTAAATAATAGGTATCATAGCTAGCCTGAGAGAGTAGCATGGAGAGTCTTTCTTGTAAAGTAAGCATTACCAAGGGAAGCACAGAGGAACGTGAAACCCAGGTCCTGACCCTCTGCGCGCCCCCTCCTCTGCACTCCTCCTCTGTTTCTGACATGTCTTTTCCCGCTTCATCCTTCCACCCTCTTGCTCCGTCTGGCGCAATGATCTCGCTTCCGCTCTCTGAGTTTTTTCTTTCTCGTCCTGCAGGGCCTGGCTTACATGTCGCTTCCTACAGGAAGACTGCCCAGACACTCCAGGTGGAGTGGATCATTTTATTGTTTGTGCTTCTCTTTGTGGCAAAGCAAATTATTACACATTTGTTCCCACATCCTGGGAGTGCAGGAGCTCCCAGAGGCAAGGAGGTAATCAAATTCAAGCTTGCTGCAAGTGTCGGACTCAAGGGCCCTCTAGGATCACCTGACCTTTGAACTTCAGGTAAAAAAATGAATTCTAATCCCAGATTATGGAATTCTTAGATTATGCAATCCTCAAATTCTCTCCAGATTCTGAGGGAAGTTCTTCTGACTTATGGTTAATTCTGCTCTCATGTGTTACCTTTTTCAAAATTTCCTCTGCTGCATATTTTGCAACTGTTCCTTCAATTCTGCTTTGGCATTAGCTGCTACGTACCTTCTCTTTGACTATCCCTTTCCCGGAATGAACAAGGCATTTTGCTGAGGACCAAGA